CCTCATCCCCCTTTGGATTTTAAAACACATCTTATCCTTGTCCTTCCATTTTCACAATAATATCCATATTCAGTATTTGTCCTTTTGAGACTAAATTAGTTCACTCAGCATAATGTTCTCTACATCTTCCATGTCATATAGTATTTTATGAAATCATTGATCCAGAGCGCTGCAAAGTGTTCTATCTTGTGAATATATTATTTGACAATTAAAAGTTGTTTAGAATGCTATGGTGATTTATATTGCCAAGCACAGATTACCAGGGATCACCTCACTTATTTAGGGAATGTCATTGCATTAAAAAAAAATATGTTAGTAGCATCGAACTTACTGCTCTGCAGCCTCTTCCACCTTGTTGGCTTTGTACTTTCTATTTCCACTGTTGTTGTGTACCGTAGAGTCAGAACCCATTGCTGACCATCCAGTGGGTTTTCAGAGGCAGTTAATCACACAGGGGAGATTGCCCATCCTTCTCCTGCAAAGCAGCTGGTGCCTTGAACTGCATGCCTTCGATGCTGCAGCACAGCTTGTTGTCACTAAGCTACCAGAGCTCCCTTGTCTGTTTCCACTACAGATGGATGTTTGAAGGGTGGCATTTCATTCCTTATTCTAAGCACCTTATTGCTTAGTGCCATACCTAACGCTTCTGACCAAATAATCATCAGCCAGGAAGTATTCTAGGTGAGCCAAGGTGTTTGCTAAGCATTTCATTAATTTATATGCATTTTAAGTATTATTTTTTAAAAAACAATGGCTTTGAATAAGTTAGAAATGGAAAAACTCATCGAGCTTCATAGTGAAGGTAGTAGTTTGGAGATGAGATGGGTGCCAAAGTTGAACAAGCTGTTGGCTATGAGCCACCAGTTCTAGAATCTGTTTAAAATTCAGACTTTTAATAATAACAAAAAAGTTATTATTTGTGGGAAAAATGGCTTTGGGGAGAAATGGGTGAAAGGAGTGAAAAAGTGGTGGTCAGGGTTTTATTTGTTTTCCTAATAAGACCAGTTGGAGAAGGATCTTAACATAAGTTTACAGTGAGGACTTAGAAGAATACATACAGTGAGAGGAGAAATTACCGTAAAATCATATTTCTTTTGGCTTAATATGAAGTGGCAATTACCTACCAACTCCCTTTAACTGTCCTGACCAGAAGCAATCGTCTTGTTTAAACATTACTCATTAGCTTTCCCAAATCAATCATCAAAACAAAATTCTAGGAGAGCCAGGAGGAAGAATTTAATTGTTGTGTGTCATGGTTTCTTTGTAAGAGGCTATACAAGTATACAGTTCTGTAATTATAGACAAACCATGGTTCCATTTAATTGCTTACCTCATTCTATAATGTTTTCTGAAATGTTTACTGAGATATCCATTATAACTATCTATGTGTGTCATGTCTTTGTTACAATGGGATATTCATGCTCTGCAATCCCAGAGTACAAGTTTTGTTTTTGAAGCTGAAAGCACAGTAGAAATCAACCACATGCACTAGAAAAAGGTAACTAAATGTTCCACCACCTTTAAAATATTTAAGTCAGATTTGTTGAAGTATGATGTACATAAAAGGAAATTTGGGGGGTTTTAGTGTATAGCTCTATTAATAATAAATTTAGTTGATGTTTACTACAAAAAACAAGATGCCTATGAAGATGACGCTGAAAGCGGAGAAGGAAGCCCCTGCCCCTCCCAAAACTGAAGCCAAAGCAAAGGCATTGAAGGCCAAGAAGGCAGTCCTGAAGGGCTGCCACAGACAAAAAAAAAAAAGAAAAAGAAGATCCGCATGTCACCCACCTTCCAGCGGCCTAAGACGCTGAGACTCCGACGGCAGCCCAAATACCCCCGGAAGAGCGCCCCCGGGAGAAAAAGCTTGACCACTATGCTATCATCAAATTTCCCCTGACCACTGAGTCAGCTATGAAGAAGATAGAAGATAACAACACACTTGTGTTCATTGTGGATGTCAAGGCCAACAAGCACCAAATTAAACAAGCTGTAAAGAAGCTCTGTGACATTGATGTGGCCAAGGTCAACACTTTGATTACACCTGATGGAGAGAAGAAGGCCTGTGTTCGACTTGCTCCTGATTATGATGCTTTGGATGTTGCCAACAAAATTGGGATCATCTAAACTGAGTCCAGCGGGCTAATTCTAAATATAAATTTTTCTCACCAAAAAAATCCCCCCAAAACAAAAACACCAAACAAAAAGCAAGATGCAGAATATTTCATTTATTCCAAAAACCCCTTGTGCCCCTTTGTAGACATCTCTACCCAACGTCTCTGACCTCGCCTGCCCTAGTAGTGATCTAAGTTCTAGCCTTGTACTTTTAACTTTTCTACAATTTCATATATTTGAGCTGTAATATATAGGCAAATGGCTTTGTGTACTTACCTATTTTTTGTTGCTGAGAAAGAATTCACGGAATGGATGTACTACAGTTTCCCCCTCTCTCCCTTTCACCTGTTGATGGGAATTTGACTTGTTTCCAGGTTTGGTGCTAATAAAGCTGCTCTAAACATTGCTGTACAGTTTTTGTGTGGACAAATGTTTTCATTGTTACCTACGAGTGGGATTACAGAGTCATACACAGAATGCATTTTTAACTTTATAACAAACTGTGGAACCAGTTTTGCATCCTTATCAGCAATGTAGCTCTGGTGGTGCAGTGGTGAAATGCTGAGCTGTTGAGTGAAATATCTCAGTCACAAAAGGACAAGTACTGCATAGCGACACTGTTGTAAAAGGGGCCTGATATCGGAACTGGGGGGAGACTGAGAAAGATGGGATAAATTATGTATACAGCATTAAAACAGATGAGGGAGAGAACTGTTTAAAAGGGATATATGATTAGGTATTACTGTCATGACGGGAGTCCAGAGTGGACTTGGGGGGAGGGATTGTCTAACAATGAAAGTATTTTTCTTTTACTTTTCAAAGAGAAGAGTGACTTGGGGGGGGGAGGGGCAGGCAGAATAGTGCAAAAGTGAATGAATAGAAATCCAAAGTCTCTGTAAATTTTCATCAAAATTAATAACAAAAAGAGCCCTTAAACAATTATTTGCCCTTTTAGGAAAAAAAAAATCTGTTATCTGAAAGGCCCTTGGCTTGAACCCATCTCCTCTGTGGGAGAAAGATGTGCTTGTCTGTTTTTTTCCAAGATTCAGTGTTGGAAACCCTATGGGCTAATTCCAAATTGTCCAATAGTGTTACTATGAGTTTGAATCAATTCCACTGTTGTGGGTTGGGTTGGTGGGTGATCAGCAATGTATGAAGAGTTTGCATTACCCTGCATTTTCTGCTATTCTAAGGATTGTCAGTTAACGATTTTATTCTAGTCATTGTAATAATTTTATTGTTTATTCACTGCTGTTAAAATTTAGTTATAACTTAGCATTCTTCCATCTCATTTCCGAGGATGCAAATCCTAATGGAAAAAGACCATATTTTTCTGTTGGAACTGCTGGTAGATTTGAACCACTGAAGATACATAGTCTTTGGGATAGCAGTTCAGCTCACTGAAGCTCATCTGTAAAGAATGGTATCTTATTATGGTTTTACTTTGCATTTTCCGAAATAGTAATGATGTTCAATGTTATTTTCTTTTTTTGCTGAAGACCTCTTTAATATGCTAAAATGCACAGTTCGAATTTTGAGGACAAAGTTTTGCATGATTTAAGCAATGTTGTTGTCAGTCAGCCTGAACGAATTTTCATATGTTTATTTACCATTTATCTATCTTCTTTGGTTAAGTGTGTGTTCAAGAACACTTGGTACAGAATACACAGACACAGGCACACGAACTGAAATGGGAAAATACCGACTGAATGGGTTATAGTAATACTTGGTGCCAGGGGGTTATGGACCCTTGATTATGGGAAGGGCATCCCTAACTGAAATAGGACTTGTCATCAATTTGGGGTGTAGAGGATAGGGGATACCTAACAGAAGGAGTACAACACAAATGGCCTGAGAACTCAGTTCCTGGGGAAAACTGGAACTCAAATAAAGATACTGAAGAAAACACAAGTAAACCAGGATCTCAACAAGGAACATAACCTAGTCATGGTCATAGCCCCTCTATACTAGCAAAGTACCAAGTATTGCTGGGCTGTGTTCTTTCTGACTGAGGAATATATGGATGGGATGACCCCTACAAGTTTCAGGTCTTAATTTTAGTCACTGAACAGGGTGATGAAAAGCAAGGACTTTTTGTCATTTTAACACCACCATGTTTGTGCTTCTCAAGTTCAGTTGATACGCAACAAATAATTCAGTTTGGGGTGATATTTAATTGAGGTCCCAAATATTAGAAGGCAGTTCTTAAGGTACTAACAATACATGACCTTATGAAGCAATGTGAAAACAGGATGAAAAGGAGGGCAGAAAAATATGAGTAGTCATGTTAGTTGGAAAATGTAAAATTTCCAATGAATTTTACTTTAGGGTCTAATCCTGCTTATTCCAAAATCTCAAGAAACTGCTTTCAAGAAAGAAAGAGTAAAATGGACAACTTAAAGACTTCTGACTCAGGGATACTAAGATAGTCCATATAAGACTTCCAAACTTTAGGGAAATCATAGCTCAGTCTGGATGTTATCACCCTTCAAATAGCATTGTTTACTAATCTTTTTTTTTGTTGTTTACTAATCCTTAACATGAAAAATATTATCTAGCTTACATAAAGACAACTGTAAAAAAAGTAAAAAAAAAAAAAAAGACAACTGTGACCAAATTGGATAGTTTGCATCAGTAAGAAAGTTTATTGAAATTCATCAGTAAATGAGAATAGAAAGTTTTTCTTTCCATCAAAGCACACTTTCTGGTAAAGTGAAAAGAAGAAATATAGTAACCACAGAACACCTTGTAGACATCTTATTATCAAGGAATGAACCTGTTTCCATAGACTATTAAGGCTGCAGTGTTATCTTGCCAATGTTGTTTTCTGGGTATTTACAAATAACAACAGCCCGTGAAGGGAGGCACTTTACTCTTGATATGGCTTAATAGTAGTGTTTCTTGATTTCTGATTCAACCTTAGACGATAGGACTCTACCATCAGGTGTCACCTCTTCAATAATTGTCTTGATTACCCTGGTCTTGTTAGTATCTGTAAATGAATAATGAAAAAAAGAATTGAAATTTAATGCTCAACAATTTGTAGTTAATAAACTTTGTTAATAAACTGAAATTTAAAGAACTACATTATGCTGAAAAGGAAAGCATCAAAACATTTGTTTTCATGCTTTTTTATTTTAATGCTGCTTTAAGAAAACATCCTCGTCTGTGCCATTTGTCCTCCAAGATTGGTTCCATGATTGGGATGCAAGATACGAGAAATGCAAGCAGGTACCCTCTCTTAAAGGTCTGTATTTTCAAAATACATCTAGAGCTTAAAAAGCAAGCAAGTCATCACAGAAAGTTAAAACTTATTCTGATTACCCCAGCTAGTCTCAGCTGACCTGGGTCCTTTAGAAGAGCTTTCTCCACCTCCTATCTGACCACCGCCAGAGCTGCCGCCAGAACCGCCTCCGTGGCCGTGGCCGCCACCGCTGCCGGAACTACCACCGCCAAAGCCGCCGCCGCTGCCGGAACTGCCGCCGTAGCTGCCGCCACCGCCGCCTCCGGAACTACCGCCGTAGCTGCCGCCGCCACCACCGGAACTGCCGCCGTAGCTCCCACCGGAACTGCCGCCGAAGCCCCCACCGGAACTTCCGCCTCCGCGTCCACCGCCGCGCCCACCTCCGTAGGAACCGCCGCCGGAACTGCTGAAGGAAGCGGCCGGTTTGGTTAGTTGAGAAACGCGTAGACCTTCAGCCTGTTGTTGTAACTTCTAAGTATGTGTTGTGATAAAACAGCTTTCCCTAGTCTCCCAACTCCCCATGTCAGACATGCTTTATAACAGGGCTGCCGTGCAGTATTTGTCCTTCTGTGATTGAGATATTTCACTTAGCATGATGGCCTGCAGGGTCCCCCATGTTGTTGTAGTGTTTTACAAGTTCATGGGAGGGAGGTGGACGTAGGTAATTGTGCCACAATAAATTAATATTAAAAAAACCAAAGTGAAGTGGGGGAAGAGAAAGAGGATAAAATGTGCAGTAATGTATGAAGGAAACTAACTGCCTCTGTAAACGTTCGTCAAAATCACAATTAAAATTTAAAAAAATCCCAAACAATTATGCCAAGTTTATATAATAAATACACAGGTGTAAACAGAGAACTACGATTGCATACACTTTTTTAAATTTTAGAAGCCTTCTTATCTTGGATATTGGGTAAAAACACAATTTAGGGTATTTTTTTTTTCTCCGTTTACCTTCCCTCTCCTTCTAGCAGGCTGCGGTAGGTTTGGATTTCATTCTCTAGTCGGATCTTGACATCCAGGAGTAGTTGGTACTCTGAGTTCTGACACTCAGTTTCCGCACGGATCTGTTGTAGTTGTTCCTCCAGAGAGCTGATCTGGCCCTGGATCTGTGACAGCTGCATACAGTAGCGACCTTCTGTTTCTGCCAAGGAGGATTCCAGCGATTGTTTCTGAGAACAGATTGTGGTTTAGTTGTCTCTTTGTTCTCTTGAGTACGCCCAAGTTTAGTATTTTCATAAATTAAACAAGCAGATTAAGAAAATGGGTAGCATTTGTGTTCTGGCCATCATGGCAGCATGTCAATCTCAGCACTTTGAAGACAATGCCAGTAATACGTTTTTTACCCTTTCCAGCCCCCCCTTATCAAAGAACTGTAATATTATTTCTACTTTCTTACCCTAACTCTGCATTTTTCTGTTGAGTTTCATATAAAATAGTTGCTAGTCTTAAATTAACATGAAGTTGAAGTCATTACAAGAGATAATTATTTACATACCAGGGCTATTTGGGACTGTAGTTCGATTTCCAGACCTTGCACGGAGCGTCTCAATTCAGTGATCTCAGATTTATAGCTGGACATTTGTTCAATGTTAGTGTCAATCTCTGTGGTCAGTTCCTTGCTCTAGAGGATTTAAAAAAAAATAAAGAAAACCAGAGAAAAGATGAGAAAATCCTAAAGTGATTATCACACCTAGAGAGGCTTCATTCTGAAGGAAGAGAACTACCTTTTCATTAAACCAGGCTTCGACATCTTTGCGATTTTTTTCAGCAAGTTGTTCGTATTGGCTTCTCATGTTATTCAGAAGTTCAGTCAGGTCAACACCTGGGGCAGCATTCATTTCTACATTCACATCACCAGTGGACACATTCTGAAGATCTTTCATTTCCTGCTCAAGGGAGAGAAAAGAAGGAATGACTCCACAGAGACCCCAGTGATCCCCTTTTTAAGTATAGGTAGTATAACTTTTGTATCACCTCTTCATGGTTCTTCTTCAAGTAGGCCAACTCTTCAGTGAGGCTCTCAATCTGCATTTCCAGGTCAGATTTGGACAGAGTCAGCTCGTCCAGCACTCTACGCAGGCCATTGATGTCTGCTTCCACGCTCTGACGCAGGGCCACTTCATTCTCATACCTGAAATAAGATGCAAATAGTTAAAAGTTATGGGGAGAAGTATAGCTTGATAGAGACTTAAAAATTCATGTAAAGTTGATTTTCTATCATGGCAACATTGTTCATATACTAATTCACATAGAAATGTTAGTGGTCTACTTTGCAGTGATTTAAATACAACTTGTCCCTTTAATATTTAACTAGAACATTTCTCAAGTCAGCTATTTAACGGAATTTTAAAAAGGCATAAAAATTCTCTTTTGGGACACTCAAAGCCATTGTGAAAAAGAAGATAGGAACTGGATATATTCTATCAATTAAGTTAGCTTACTTCAGCCTGAAGTCATCAGCTGCCAACCTGGCATTGTCGATCTGGAGCAGGATATTGGCATTGTCAGTTGTCAGGTTAAGGATCTGGAGGGAAAATTATTGCACAGTTGTTTAAAAGTAGTCAGATACAAATAAGGCTTTTATAGTACCATAGACACACTGCATTTTTATGCAATTCTTATAAAAGTTCTGTGAGTAAATTTTATATTAAATGCAAAATATTGCAGACTTAGCTGTATGCTCACATTTGAGTAATTTGTTCTCTCCAAGTTTGCGTACCCTTCTATATCTATGTCACCCTGTCCTGATAACTAACTGGAATGTAACAAATGTCCTCCTGCTACTTGTGGTCCTGTGTTATTTTCATGTGTTTTGGCAAACACTGAACTGTTTCACACCTGTTTTGGTTTGACTTTCCATGAAAACTTGATAGTAAAGATGTCCAAATACACAGTAAGTATATTTATTAGCCCTAATAATATTTCTGTCTGATTCATTGCAAAAGTCTTTCCGTTATTAGGCTTGTGAATGATCTAGCATACTGTAACTATGGACTCACTATGTGGCCACTAAAACATTTTTATATGCTAGCCTATACATTCAGAGAATATATATGTTAGATTGCCATGGTCATGCCATGAAACAAGAAAGTAATATAGTTAAAGCAGAGTGACAAGCTATATCTTGGTTAATATAAGATTAATCTGAATTACATGACTAGTGGATAACAGTTTTAAATGCCCCTTACCTCATTTTTAAGTTCATCAATGTTTTTGTAGAATTTGGTGTAATCACGAGGCTCTCGCTGGCTCGAATTGCCATGCTTTTCATACCACTCCTTGATTTTGCTTTCAAGCTCATAGTTTGAGTCTTCCAGAGCCCGGACTTTGTCCAAGTAGGAAGCCAGGCGGTCGTTCAGATTCTGCATGGCTACTTTTTCATTTCCAGAGAGAAGGCCACCATCTCCTCCAAATCCCCCACCAAATCCACCTCCACCGTAGCCTCCTCCAAAGCTGCCTCCTCCAAAGCTCCCTCCACCATAGCTCCCACCAAAGCTTCCTCCACCAAAGCTACCTCCTCCATAGCCCCCACCGAAGCTGCTGCCTCCATAGCCTCCACCCATGCTACCTACACCAAAACCTCCTCCATAGCCACCAGATGAACCACCAAAGCAGCCTCCACTAGAGCTTCCCCTGCTAAAGGAGCCACCACTGAACCCCCCTGAGCTGTATCCTCCACCACTGGAGCCTTTGCTGCTTGAAATTCTGAGGGATGAGGCTCCTCCACCTCCTCCTCCACTACGGGAGGAGGAATAGTGCTTGCTTGAGCTGTATCGAACAGACATGGTGATGCTGTTTAGCCCAGGGAGTGCTGCTAGCCAACGACAGGGACGAGCCCTTATATACCAAGATATGGCAAGAGGGTGTGTCCCATGCGTATAAGGGTTTGCTTACTGGCATGGTTTTTTCTTTTTGTCAACTTAGCACCTTTGGCTGATGGTTGCATAAATTATCTTCATTAATAACCAGTCCCAATATGTATGGTTTTGAATTTGCCCAAAGAAACATCAGGAGATTTGCTGTGTTGAAACTGCATATGGGTGGAGTTCAGATGAGCATATCTTTCATTATGCTTTTTTACCTTTTGAAGAACATTGAGCAACTGTGAAAATTCATTTTCCTCAGCACTAATTCAGGTTGCTTGGACTGTTTGCAAATTTTTATAAAAGAATTTAGCTATAAAGATAAAATTTCTCAAGATGAGAATTTAAATAGGTTTAATTTATTAGATCAGGGAAAAAGCAAATTGAACCTACCAGAATCGTGCTCTAACAAGGATCTTGTAGAAAACTGCTAGTAACCTAAAAGAAAATGTACTCAAACTATTAGTGTTCAAAGATTGCTTAGAGTCATGAAAACACAGTTTTGGAAATGTGTGTACATGCTTTTGTGTACTGTCAAATTGGAGCAGACCCTCCAGCAGGTTTTCGGAGGCAGTAAATCACATTAGAGGTAGTACATCTTTAAGAGAGCAGCTGGTTTCCAACCATGTGCCTTTGGGTTAGTAGCTTAACACCTTACCTCTAAGCCACCTCTGAGTTTATTTAGAGAATCAGAGTATATAGATACTTTGCCTAAGAAGTTGGAAGCTAATAATGACTAAAGAGTCTTGTGATTTAGTGATGCCATTATTTTTAACATTAAAAAAACCTGCAGTCATGAAATGATTTTGAAGAGTTTTTGCTTATTTTGGTTTTTACTTTCTTTTAAAAAAATAATTAGTGTGAAGAATTTTTATCAAAAACATATTGTAGAAATTCTGAGCATAAGGCATGAAGAATTGACCATGAGTACTTTCTTTACACTAAGTTTTCATTGACTGAAAAGGGGGAATTTTATATGATTGCCAGTAAAAGATTATGTCTGAAAACATAAATCCAGAGTGAGGCATGCTGTTTGGTCAAAAGCTATCATTTAAACAGTGCATATATGTTCCCAAGGAAGATTCTGTTTCTCAGTAAAAGACTCACTTCCTTGGTGATGTTGTTGTTAGGTGCTGTCTGACTCAGCCTGACAGTCCTGTGTACAATAGAATGGAACACTGCCCTAGCCTGTGTAATCCTCACAATTGCCACAGTGCTCGTGCCCATCATTGCTTTCACTGTGCCAATCTATCTTGTTGAGGGTCTTCCTCTTTTTCTCTGACACTCTACTTTAGCAAGAATGATGGATGTCTCTTTCCAGGGAGTGACCCCTTCTGATAGATAACATACCCAAAGCATCTTTGGATGTCATATGCCATTTGGTAAAACACATGACTGGTTTTAAGCATTTAAGTATTTAATTGGGACTTGAATAAATGCTATAAAACTATTTTCTATCTTCTTAAAAGCTATGATTTTGCTAGCATTAAAAATATGTTTATATAGCTTATCTCCACACACATTTTGCAGTTGTGTGGTACCTTTTGTGGTACTTTTGTTATCTCTGAAAGAATCTTCTGAAACAGAGATGGAATTTTGTCTCTGTACAAGAGGAAGGTGAAGATGAAGTAGGCTGTGATTTATCTAGGTGGTTGAATTGGGATTAGAAGTCTGATTTTTGACTCTTTCCTATTTTGCCAGTGTGTAGTCATAGAATCTTTGTTCTGTTAAAACAGTGGATCTGATCTGATAGAACTAAATGCCTGTGTTTCTTAATATAAGCTTTTCTATATGAGGTGGGAAAAAAATCCCCAAATAAGACTAAAAAAACTTGGAATCATAAATCATGTTTAAAGGGTAATGTATTTGGCACACATTTCAATTACTGCTTTTTAAAGTTCTTTGCATTCTGGCTTTTGAGCACTACAGAGAGAGTTCCTGCAGGGAAAGGGAATGTGGTTGGGTGTATTAATGAAGAGTTGGTCGTCAGAGCTCAGGTTGCTACCCAACAAATTGTAGCTCCTCCAACTTGTTAGTACATGCAAGTAGGGCAGTAGCTAAAAGTAAAAAAAAATACCATGGGAATTGATCATCAAAGATAATAAAAAGTAAAGGAAGCCTATGCTATATCTGAATTGGGGGAGGGGAAGAAAAAGCGTTTTTGCTAACTTCAGAGTGGTTGTTGAAGTCATGACATTAAAAGCTTTTTGCAAAGAAAAAATTTTAAAGAGAGGTTTTGAGAGATTTCACCTCTGATCTTGTCAAATGTAAGGATCTTGATCCTACCTATTTTGCTTTGGCATTAACCTTTTATTTATCCTCTAGTAGGAAAATATAAAATCCCAATCTGTTTATAGTTGACAAGTGGCATGAAGAGATGTCTGTTGAAATTAAATGACTGTTAAATCAAAGTAAATGAGAAAGGGAACCTTGGCATAAATGTACATGGAAACAAAAGTATAAGCACTTTCTGATACTCATTGTAACATTCAATTTAAATCAATTTTAATGTTCTTATCAAAGAGTACTTACTAACTTGTGTACTCTAGAAATGGACTTGTCTTTATTTGCATTGTTACTTATTGAAATCAGCCTTTGGCATAAGTGAAACTGCAGATGTGCCATGTGATAAATTTACAACTAAATTGGATGAAAAGTTATGATTGCCACGTCTGATCTTAGCACTATCTATACTTGTCAAAATTCACTGTAAATTTATCTAATTGTCAAATTTTTAATTGTGTCTCTGTGTAAAACATATTTGTAGGTGTTTTTAATGCAGAAAAATGAAAGAGATTCAAATGCTGCCTTTTTTTAAAATTTAGGTTGTTTATTTTTCATTTCAATGAACATCTACAGAAATTTTGGGATTCCATTCATTCATTGTTGCACCCTTCTCCCTGCACAAACCCCTCCCTTCCCCCCCCC